CCCTCATCGACCGCCGCCGCACCCCAGGTACCCCAAAAACCCCCAAAAACACCAAAAAAACCCCAAAAACCCCAAAAAAACCCCCAAAAAAACCCCAAAAAAACCCCAAAAAACCCCAAAACCCAAAGAAACCCCAAAAAACCCCAAGAAAAAAAACAAAAAAACCCCGAAAAAACCCAAAAAATCAAAAAAAAACCCCAAAAAACCCCAAAAAACCCCAAAAACCTCAAAACCCAAAGAAACCCCAAAAAACCCCAAGAAAAAATCCAAAAAAACACCAAAAAAAGGCAAAAAAATCCCAAAAAAACCCCAAAAAATCCCAAAATAACTCCCAAAAAAACCCAAAAAATCACAAAAAAAATCCCAAAAAAGCCCCAAAAAATCCCAAAAAATCTCCCAAAAAATCACAAAAAAACCCCAAAAAATCCCAAAAAACCCCAAAAAATCAGAAAAAAAATCCCAAAAAATCAGAAAAAAAATCCCAAAAAAATCCCAAAAAATCTCCCAAAAAATCTCCCAAAAAATCCAAAAAAAACCCCAAAAAAACCCCAAAAAATCCCCAAAAAATCCCCAAAAAAATCCCAAAAAATCCCCAAAAAATCAGAAAAAAAACCCCAAAAAATCCCCAAAAAATCCCAAAAAAAACCCCAAAAACCCCCCAAATCCCCCCCAAAATCCCGAAATTCCAGAACTTTCCGTCCGCCAGGGCCCCCCAGCCGCGGGCAGAAGCGCGAGGCGCGGCTGGACAAGGTTTTATCCGACATGAAACGCCACAAGAAGCTGGAAGAGCAAATCCTCAGGACCGGCCAGGACCTTTTCCCGCCCGAAAACGACGAATCCCCCACCCCAAAAAGACCCCCGGGCTTTTTCCTTCGCCAGCGCAAGTACTGAACCCGAGAAAACCCCAAAAACCCCTGGTTTACCCCAAAAAAAACCACGAAAATCCGGGGTTTTACCCCAAAAAAACCCAAAATTCTGGGGTTTTACTCAAAAAAAAACCCCCAAATTCTGGGGTTTTACCCCAAAAATCTGGAGTTTTACCCAAGAAAACCCCAAAAATCCCTGGTTTACCCCAAGAAAACCACGAAAATCCGGGGTTTTACCCCAAAAAAAACCAAAATTCTGGGGTTTTACTCAAAAAAAACCCCAAATTCTGGGGTTTTACCCCAAAAATCTGGAGTTTTACCCAAGAAAACCCCAAAAATCCCTGGTTTACCCCAAGAAAACCACGAAAATCCGGGGTTTTACCCCAAAAAAAAACCAAAATTCTGGGGTTTCACCCCAAAAAAACCCAAAATCTGGGGTTTTACCCCCAAAAAAACCCCAAAAATCCAGGATTTCACCCAAAAATAAAACCCGAAAAATCCGGGGTTTTACTCAAAAAAACCCCAAAATTCTGGGGTTTTACCCCAAATATCCGGGACTTTACCCCCCAAAAAAACACCGGAAAATCCACAATTTCACCCCAAAAAGAACCCCAAATCTGGGATTTCGCCCCCAAAAATCTGGGATTTCACCCCCAAAATCCGGGATTTCACCCTAAAAACACCCAAAATCCGGGATTTCACCCCAAAAATTCAACATTTCACCCCCAAAATTCACGATTTCACCCCCAAAATCCGGGATTTCACCCCAAAAACACCCCAAAATCCGGGATTTCACCCTAAAAACACCGCAAAAATTCAACATTTCACCCCCAAAATTCACGATTTCACCCCAAAAACACCCCAAAAATTCAAGATTTCACCCCCAAAATCCGGGATTTCACACCAGAAATCCAGAATTTCACCCCAAAAACACCCCAAAATCTGGGATTTCACCCCCAAAATCCGGGATTTCACCCCAAAAACACCCCAAAATCCGGGATTTCACCCTAAAAACACCGCAAAAATTCAACATTTCACCCCCAAAATTCACGATTTCACCCCAAAAACACCCCAAAAATTCAAGATTTCACCCCCAAAATCCGGGATTTCACACCAGAAATCCAGAATTTCACCCCAAAAACACCCCAAAATCC